AGACAAAAAACAAGGCACATAACAAAAGCAAGACACAAAATGAGACGGAAAATGGCAAAAATATGACAAAAATGACACAATGAGACAAAACAAACAAAAAAAGACACAAAACCACAAAAAAGAGACACAAAACCCCCAAAAAATAACACAAACAAAACACAGTGAAAAGATGAAACACACAGCAAAAATGGGACATAAAATAACACAAATGAGACACAAGATAACAATAGGGAGATACAAAACAACAAAAACCAGAACTAACGTCACAGAAACAGCTACAAGGAGTCACATAAGAAGACACAAAAATGAGACACAAAATAGCACGAATGAGACAAAAATTGACAAAAATGAGACACAAATGACATAAATGAGACACAAATGACACAAATGAGACACAAATGGACATAAATGAGACAAATTGACATAAACGAGACACAAAACAACACGAATGAGACACAAATGGACAAAAATGAGACCCAAAATCACACAAGCAAGACACAAAATGACAAAAATAACAACAGAAACCTGCAACAACATGACAAAAAAAGACACAAAACTAGCCGCCATTGATTACAGATGGAACCTGATGTAAATACAGAATATTATTGTAAAGTCTAGTTACAGTATGAAACAGTAAAACTCATATTCTACTGTAATCATTCACAGGTAAATTACAGAAGACACGGTTTTACAGGAAAACACTGTGACAAACAATTTGGGAAGAGACAAACACAACAGAGGAGTAGAGGAAGAGGAGGATCATGGGAATAATTAGACAAACAAGCGAAGGGAAGACGGCGACGGGGACGCTGCAGAGGGCGAAGGGCCGACAGGAAAACTGAGGGAAGCACATTCCTTCATCCCTCTCCTGCTCTTCAAAACAGCAGCTGGGACAGGTGTGTGTCTACTGATGCTACGAGCTGCTGTGTGTGTGTGTGTGTGTGTGTGTCCATGTGCTGAGTCTGCACGGTGTTGTTGTGTGTAATTACTGGAGGGGGAGGAAACAAAACCCACAGATCAGAAATCTGCCCGTAATGACAAAAATAGTAAAGTGAATGCACACACACACACACACACACACACACACACACACAGGGAGGGAGTGTCTGAAGGATGTGTGCGATCTTGTGTGTGCACTTTAACTTCTCAGGAAACAGAGGGATCCTGTTTGCGACTCGTACTCATTGTTCAGCTGCTGAATCCACGCTGCACAGCTCGTGTTACCGGCTGGCTGCGGCCCAGAGACTCATCAGCGTAAGGTTTCCTGCAGGAACACTCAGCACGTTGTCTCCTCGCAACAAAGCCCGAGTTTCTGACGAGGGGCGTGACCGTCTGACTCCGAGCTTTGTCCCTCCGACGTCTGTCTCAGAGAACCAACAAACAACCAGAACCCTCCCTTATCTTGTCCGGGGCCTCGTTATTTACTCGTTTATTTTCCTTCTAAAATGATTAATTTTCTACTCACAAGGCCCCCGTTTGTTGCTCCACTCTGACTCACTCGTCTGCACCGTCCTGACCCAGATTTTTTAAAAAGATTTCGTTGTGTCGTAACTTATTGCGGCGAAGCTTCAGCAGTGACAATGTTGTTCTAATCTGGATAAACTGCCACAAAACCCAGACTTTAAAGGGCCGTTTTTGACCTATTTCCTACATAGAGCTGCACGTTGCTGCTGCTCACGAGACGTTTAAAGGCTGTAAAGTCATATCAAGAGTTTTCAAAGTTCGCAGTTTGAGGCTTCATGAAGAAGTCCAAGGAGTTCCTCACTGTGAACATGTCAAAGGGCTGCAGGAGGACAGACGTGAGCCCTGCACTGGAACAATGGTGGAGGCCCAGAAGAACCCAAGAACCAGCACCAAGAGCATCCTGATGAATGTGAGCAGTTCTGGTAACAACATGTCAATCAGACACTCCAGCAGACCAACAACAAGGCTGGTCTCCATGGAGACAAGGAGGATCCACTTCTCCAGGACAAAGAAGAAAGCTGCTGCTCATCACTTCATGAACACAGAGCAAGGAGAAGCATTCAAGGCCAAGAGCAGCATCCCCACAGTCCAACATGGTGGTGGAACGTGATGCTTTGGGGCTGTTGTTGAGCCGACGGACTAGACAGCCTGGTCAGAGGAAACGGCTTCATGAGAACAGAGGAGAACATCAGGAGGTCTGCAGGAACACTGCTCCTTGGGCAGCATTGGAGCTTCAACAAGACAATGATGTGAAACATGCAGCCAAAGTGGTGAAGAAACGATGAAGAGAAAACAATAAGGAGATGTTGGAGCGGCCCAGCCAGAGTCCAGACCTGAATCCATCCAGAATCTGTGGAGGAGCTGAAGAGCAGAGTGACGGAGAGGAAACTTTCAAGCTCCAAGAACAAAATCCCAGTGGAGACCTGCAGGATGACTGTTTGACACCAGAAGAACCGTTGGACATTGACACTGAGGGGTATGAATAATTCTGGACATGGCATGGCCATAATTAAAGACCAGTGGTGGGCCGTGCATTTTACTCTTAGGCCTTCAGAGGCATCCTGCCTGAATCAAACCACCTCTTATCTTAACCATGTCTGCTTGCGTACCTTGAAAAAAAAAAAAGACACGATAAAGTTTTATCTTGTGCAGGTTGCTACAGACAGGAGCCGCTAGCTTTGGCTGAGCTCTCTGACCATCCAATCAGAGGACGTGAAAGTGCTGACATCATCGTAGGGACCACCAACTCTCAACCTGGCTGGGTAAAGCATCAGTTTCATTATAATGCTTTTTTAGCTACAGGGGCCTGCACTGTTGACTCTGAAGGCGTCAGGGCAGATTTCTGTGACCCTGGCAACACATGATGGCTGAAATATGATTGGATAAAAGCTCTAATATAAACATGCACTGCAGGAAGTGCCACAATCCAGAAACATGCTATGAAATGAAGACAATAGACTGTTGGGAATAATATACAAAGATTAATGGGAAAATATTACAACATCAGTCTGATGAGTTTAGGCCAGCAGAGAAGGCCTCGCTGGCCTTGACGGCACACCACTGGTAAAAATGCATTATTGACGTTATTTAACACAATGTCTTACTACCTTTTGCTACTTGTTTATATCATATTTATCCAGAAGAAATCCGTTGATCAAATAAAAATGAACTAGAAACAAAGCTTTGGCATGAGGATGAATCATTTTGGGCCTCACAGAGCTGGAGATCAACACAAAAGAGGAAACCATTGGAGATGTGCAGAAATTTTAACTTTAGGTAAATGTACATCCCACCACTTGGTGCATCCTGGTCTGTATTTGCAGATAAAATATTTGAAAACGAAACCGAAAAAAAGAAATAATTATTGTTTTAAATTTACTTTATTCTCGTCTCAGTTTTCACTGCTTTGCGTCTCATTTCTACACCTTTGGCTAATTTCTCTCCACCTCTGAGCCGCTGCACTACAACTCCAACACAATGCCTCGCAGCCTGTGTGTGTGTGTGTGTGTGTCCTCTATCAGACCCTTTGAGCTCAGGAAGAGAGGCCGGCACCAACACACACATGGGATGAGAACCTCTGGCGTGGCCTTTCCCACCGCTGCCCTCTCTGAATCAACAGGCTCGTTCACACCGCTGCACCATCAAACAGGCTTTTGTCTTCCTCTTGCACAACCACTACAATCACACACACACACACACACTTATCTGCACACATCTGCATGGCCGCTCATTACCGCAGTGAAAACAAAACCAGCAACATGAAGCCCTCCTACTTCAAAAGGTCATTACGTTCTCCACAAATAAAGACCACTTTACTGTGGTGACAATATGTTTAAATTGTGAATGAGCAGCGACACGTTCATTTACTCTTATTACATTTAATAATAATGAGGATTCAACCAGCCGCCGCAGAATCAGGAAACATTCAGGCTTGTAAACAAAATCCTGTGGTGTTAATTAGTATTTTATTCAACCTTATAAAAATAGTAAACACCATTTGGTTCACATCATATATCAAAAACAGGTTTAGAAAACGTTTCTCCACAAATTCTTACTGCCACTGATATGATTCAACATTCTGTCCACGCGGTTTACACAGAGGCATGTGTGCGGGAAAATAACAAACTGTGTCTGTACATATTGTGAGTACCAGGGAACAGGGGGACAAAAAATAAAATATATGTAATTACAATAGCAGCCAACAAGCAACGACTCCGCAAAAATCTTTGGCTAGTATGACATGAGGTTCAATCCAGTTCACCGGATTGCGAAGAGATAACAAGTTTCCTGACGTGTGGGCAGATCAGTAAATGCCATTGAGCTTTAATGGCAAGCATGACCTAACAGAAGGCACTTAAAGACACGGAGAGCAGGTCACAGTTCGACACACAGCTGCAGGAAAGTAACAGTTTGACTGGATTTAAAGACATCAGGATTTTTTTTACTCTCGACTATAAAGCCCCTTTCAGACATGAGAGACTTCCTGTTAACGTGACGGCATCTGGACAAATGAGCACCGGGCTCAGCTTTTCTGTAAAAGTCTCAGTTCCTACGAGGTCGTACCGAGTGACATTTTCATTTTTAACACAGCGTGTTAGCGGATAGATGTACGTGGAAGTGTTTCAAAGCAAATAGAAGAAGATTTTTTTTTCACATTTCAGCACCTACGCTGGTCCAAAAACATCGGAGCAAGAGTCACAGACTGAGCACCTTTCTAATTCTACAGTTTCGCATCCAATTTAAACTAAAAAAATGTACATACAAATAAAATGTAACTGCAATTAGGACAGCATCTGTAACAGGTCAGATTGATGAGATTCACCAATAATGAATGTAATCCAGGTTTTGACTAACTGGAGTTTAAGTTCAGTTTGTTTAGAAGTATTTCCTGTGGGTGTATAAAACTTAATTACTTGTTATTCTGAATTATCCCCAAATGGAGACAGGATGGTTCAGGATCTCACAGCAGATCACAATGTGGACTTGTCACTCAGGTGGAATCCTGAGCTCCTTCACAGGATATTCTTATTCACCTGTTTAGTTTGATTATCATCACACGTGGACGGAAATTTTCACTTTTTAGGAAATCATAAATGAAATTAGTTGTTTAAACAGTTTGATAAGCTGCTGCTAGTTTAGATTGAGTCTTTTTTGTGTGCATTGTTATGTTTTACTGTCAGATACAGTACCATGTCTCTGTCACTGTGATGTCTGATCGAAGCCTAAAGACGTGACCTTTGTCTGACTGACAAAATCGTCACGTTAACACACGGACCACGCAGCTTCTTCATGTCTGAAAGGGGATTGACTGCACTTCTTTGCTTCCCGAAAAGTAAACAAAACACAATAGCCATCATCGCCACTTTACAAGTCACTCAGCGAGTTGTTCCTCTTTTAAAAAGGTGAGACGAGTGACGGGACACTCGACAGACTCGTCGTCTCTCTCCGTGTTCACGACTGTCCCACCTCGCGTCATCATATATGCAGAGGCCTATAGGACGGCGAGCTCTGATTGGCAGACGAAAATTTCCAAAAGAGACAAAATCGGATGAGGCTGGTGAAGATTCCAGGCGTGTTTGGAACCTGCGATAAAAAAAGAACATCAAGGAGAGCCATTATTTCGATCCTGAGGGCTGTGTTTACTGGCACACACACTGATTCAAGTGCACGTTTGCGCCGCATCTTACCACAATGTAGTAATCGTTGAGCTGGAGGCCGTAGAGGACCCAGGAGGTTGAAGTGAAGAAGGTCGCTACCGTCAAAGGGAAGGACAAGCACTGCACGTTGCCGCTGCGCACGATTTGTACCTGAAAGGGGAGAAAATAGGAGGAGAGAAGCAATAATGAGTCAGTAAGTAAGCTTTATAGCTGAGTTTTTTTGATTTATAATGGATTAAATGTTTAGAATGAAAATGTAAAAGGTGTTGCTTGGGTGTGAATTTGCAGTTCTCCGCTGCTCTAAAGAGCTTTTAGTCGTTGCATTTTTATGCACATTTTGAAGCATTGCACTAGAAAAAGTCAGCGGAAATAGAAAAACTTGAAAAATATTCGCCAATTTCCCTCACTTCAGGTGGTTTTTGGGAGACGGAAACACCTAAAAACATCAAACCCTTAGCTCACGTGACCGTTTCCTTCCATCTTTGTTTCTTGACACCGTTGTACACAAGCTAACAAGCTAACGTGAGGAAATCATGACAATCATTCCTTCCCAACTGAAAACCGTTCCTTAAAAAAACAGTTTTTCTTTCGTAGATCTACAAATTTTTTCTTCTTCTTCAAGGTTATTTTTATTTTATTTTGGCAAACAGTTGGTTTTGCTTCCACTCTGTTTGTTACAGCCACGACTGTAAGACTACTCAGCCTAGTTTGTTCGCTCCAGAGCTGACAAATTTTTCTTCTTTACTTCATTTTTTGCGTCATTTCTAATGTTTACCTCCAATTTGCCTGACTATTATATGAAAATACAGCAATTATGGTGACTTTCAGCCCGTTGTTTGGTGCACGACGTTAACCTACTGGTTCAGTCTTAGCAACACGCCAATGCAGTCCATCAGAAATGCTTGTAAGGTGGTTGTACAGCTTCAGAAATCCTCTCCAAACTTTTAACATCAGAGGGATGGATTGTGCGTACCAGGAAGTATCAACTGAATCAGGTGGTCTGTAATTGCGATCTGTGTTTTAAACACAACGCTCGGGTGGTAATTTCACCTTTCAGCTGAGCGACACCTCCATGATTCTCTGTCTGATTGTTAAAGTTCATTCCTTTGTGTAATTTTCCTTTCAGAAATTTCCCCCATGTGTCTAAATCTCAGTAATTGACGGCGACCGACGGCTACAGATGCCGTATAAATCTGGAATTTCCGATTAAAAACTACTTCCACCTCTGGAATGTGCTGCAGCGTCAAGAAGAACGCGAGGACGGCTTTAGGTCTACTCGGTAACGTCTTATTATGTGAACTGTAAGAAGAGGAAAACGCGAGCGAGGGGATGAGACGCAAACAGAGACAGAGACCGAGAATAACAGGAAGACAGACGAAGGAAAGAAAGGCAGGAAACCGACTGGGGGTCACTCCGAGCTGTGAGGCAGATGGAGGGAAGATGGCAAACAGGATAGAAGACGGAACCAGAAGATGATATAAAGAGACAAAGAGGAAAGAGAGCGAACTGGGGATTTATTCATTGAGTGGTGAAAAGCTGCACGTGAACACTGAGTCCATGTGAGATTAACTGAAACGGTTATTCAGCGCAGCAAGGACGACAAAAAAAACGTGTTGCTGAAAATAAGGTGTAAGTGAATTCTTTTAACTCCAGATGAAACAACACACCCAGCGTTAGTAATAACAACTCTATTTGGTCTCTGAAAAGCCTGATTTTCTGGCTGAACTGCATGAATTCCTTCAGAATTAGTCTTTAATTTTAGGCGTAGCATAAAGTCTCAATTTCTTGATATTTTAAAGCCCAGGATTATTAAAGCTGCTCTTTCGTCTTTGGTTGTGTTTGGCTGAAGAACTCCACAATGTTAAAGCTGCAGTTCTGAGATTTTGGTGATTCCTGGTTGAGCCTTGACCATCCTGACCAAATGTTTCACAGCAGCAGGTGGGAGTCGACACAACCGGACCATGAACTTTATATGATTTTTGGATCTAAAGCTTCTTTCAAATGGCTCCAAGTGACTTTCTTGACTTGTTCGGGCTAATGATTTGCATTTCACTTGTGGCTGAGTCTAATGAGTTTAAACCTGTTTAAACATTGAACCTGTTTAAATTGGCTCAGAGGAGTCAGCAGCTGAGAAGTTAAGAGTCCACTAACAGAATTTGAATAACACAACTTACTACATTGCCAAAACTAATAATTAAAGTGGCCGTCTGTCTATTTTTGACCCAGCAGATTTTGTTATATTTCCAGATTCCATCACAGAAAATTCAGAGTTCTGGGAAGTGAGGCCTCTTTGGTTCAAAGAACACCAAGCCTACTGTCAAGCATGGTGGTGGCAGTCTCATGCTCTGGGGGCAATGACTCCAAACACACAAAAGTGGTAAAGAAATGGCCAAATTAGGTTGAATTAGGGTTAAGAGAAGGGGCAAAGATGCAACCAGAAACTTCTGGATGGCAACCAAAAGCATCTAGTTGAGGTGAAAATGATCCAGCAGCTTTTGAAATATTTCCAGAAGACCTATAATAAATCTATAAAAGAACCAGAATACATGATTGTTTTTTGTACAGCTGACGTCCTGCCTGTGTGTTGCGTTTGTCTGTGATTTACGTGAGCATTACCAGGTCGGTCAGCGGCGACATGTACATGCTGACGGTGACGACGCTGCAGGTGAGTCCCAGCTGGCTGAGCCGAGACTCTCCTTCGGGGAGAAACATGCCGAAGTAGAGCCAACCGCAGGTCAGAACCGTCCCCGCTGCCACCGTCTGGGACATCACCAGCCTCTGAAACCAGGAAACACGGTCAGAATCCAGCTGCAGGGAGCAGAGAGACGTCTGCAGCGGAGGCCAGACCCACCTTGTGTTTGGTGTAGTGGAAGTACATGATGATGTAGAGGATCTGCAGAAGAGCTCCGATGACGTTGACCAGGATGATGGTCTGATCTCTCTTCAGCATGCCGTAAAACAACCATCCTAGGTTACTATGGAAACAAGAGAAGCATTAAATGTGCTGGCAACAACGGTGCCAAAGTGAAGAAAGTCTGGCTTCTCTTCACAGCTAACAGTGAAGCCTGGTAGAGGGCTTCACACATAGACCACATAGAGCTACATCCAAAAAACTTCTATTTTTCTGGCAGAATTTTTTGTGGAACCATGTTTCTGCAGCTGTTGTTTCCACACTGATGCATTTCAACAGCACAACCAGCCCTCATTCAATCACATACAACCTGAGAAACTGGAAAATGATCACAGAATTTTTGTCAAGTGTATGGAAAGAACAGCTGCAGTGCAACTTTTTTTTTTTCTCCAGCTGAGGGGACAAAAAAAAAAAGTTTGCATAATCTGTTGAAACTCATGCACGTTATTTAAAGTAGTTCAAGATCCAGTCATCAGAAAAGCTTAAGTCAAGCAAGAGAGGCAAAAATAACAAACCATCAGAGTTGTTGCATTTACACTTAAGTTACGTTGATGGATTTTTGACATCGGATTAACCAACACGCGATATAAGGTTCCACCTTAAAAGTTGCCGGTAGCTGCTGGCTGCCTTCCATTGATCAGTAAAGATAAAAAGGACGAAAAGCTGTCTTTTTTTTTTTTTTATGGAGCAGATAGAAAGCGAATAATTACGCAGTAAAAATAACAACATTCATCACTGTTAATGCCAGAGTCCATGAGCGTTGGGCTGTAAAGTTGGGTTGGGACACTTTCATTGGCTGAATGTCGTGCCATATAATAACCATCTGACTGATAACCAGATACCGAGACAACATCAGGTCACGATCCTTTAGATGGGAGCCTGAAGTTGTTGTTTTTGAGTTGCAAAATGATGATTGTATGAACTATTCTTTAAGTTAATGTAACATTTGATCAGTTATAGTTGACTGATGTGTGGAAACGCACCACTGCAAGAAGAATAGCTACACAACCTTTGAAACGAACCACAATCTGTGTGCAAAAGGTGTACTTAAACCAACAACACTAAACCCCTGATAGACAGAATAAAAATACATCTGCTCGTCTGTGTCAATAAAAATGTGTTTGTGCATGTTTTTTATGAGTTACAGTGTGCATGATTCAGGCTAAGCTGTGGATTTAGTTTAAGACTCCAAAAGACTGGAGGAATGAAACCTTGCTTTGAAGAAACAAACTCCTGAACAATGTAAGACTGACCCAGAAACTGCAGCCAAAAAACACAAAAAAGAGAAATTTAAGTCTGGAGGTGGGCGTCTGATTATCTCAGGAGTTTTTCTTTGTCACATGCTCATAGAGTTTGTGCAGTGAAATGCAAAGTGACTGTTAAACAAGGCTGTGCGATAACAATAAGACACAATAGCATAAAAAAACATTCCCTGATAAATAGAGAGTTATAAAGATATAATGACCGGGTGATGATTGTGAAGCTAAAGTGCAATTTAAGTTGTGCAAGAGTTGCAGTCACGTGTGTGCGCATATTTTATACACATACCGTAAATATAGGCCTCTATTTTTTTCACATGCTTTGAACGCTGCGGCTTAAACGATGATGCGGCTAATTTATGGATTTGTAAGATTTTTACAAATTTGCCTCGAGACAAAAGTGACATTGAGAGCGACAGCGACAGAGAGACTGAGGAAGTGTGTGACGAAGGAATTCTGAGGCTGTTCAGTTCCGACACTGAAGAAGACGACTTTAGTGGTTTTAGTGCAGGAGGAAGATGATGACAGCGATCAATGACTTTTCCTGGTAGGCTGCTGGAGTTTTTATTTTCTTAACCAGCCGTGTTACAGGCAGTGTTCAGGAAAAAAACATTTATGTATATTACCGGTACGTATTTAATGAAAAGTTTAAAAAATCTTTCTGCGTAAATATCTCATGTTCCAACATGGACACCTGCAGCTTATAGACAAGTGCAGCCTGTATATGTACAAAACTGGTTTTCTTTTTAAAGTTAGTGGGTCTGGCTTATATTCAGGTGCCTCAATAGTGCGGAAATGACCATATTTCCATTGACGCAGTGTTGTGGCTTTCAGATGAGATTTGGAATTTAAATTGTAATAATTATAAGGTGCTCAGGAACTTTTACACCTGCACCATTGAGAGTGTTCTGGCTGGGAGTATCACCACCTGGATGAGCAGCAGCACCCAGCAGGACTTCTTGGCCCTGAGGAGGGTGGTCCGCTCGGCTGAGTGCACCATCAGAACCACCCTCCCCAACCTGCAGGACATTTACACCAAACGATGCAGGTTAAAGGCAGGATGATTGTGAGTGAGCCCACCCACCCACAGACTGTTCTCTCTGCTGCCGTCAGGACGGCGTTACCGCTGCCTGAAGGCAGACACAGAGAGGATGAGGAGGAGCTTCTTCCCTCAGGCTGTCATTCATAGATATATATTTACTTCTTGTGTGTTTTATTTCTTATTCTTATTTATCTTATTATTAGTGTTTCGGTGTGGAACAGGTACACAACGCATTTCACTGCACGCTACACCGTGTATAACTGTGTTTGAGACCAATAAAAGACCTTGAATCCTAGTAGTTTTAAAAAGCTTAACTTAAGCATCTGTTGCAGATTTTTTAATCAACTGAGGGGTTACATAATAAAGATTATCATGCTGTGTGCGACTCCTCATGTATGTGTTCTGTGCACACTGTCTGCAGAAGAAAATAAGAAAAGTGAGTGAATAAAAAAAATAGAAAACAAAGATGGTGCAATAAATAAAAACTGTCTCACTCACTTTAGACATGTGGTGAGAAAAGGGAGAAACTGGATGTTGTCAGTGCTTTTGTGTTCTCGCATCGTCTTCAGGTCGGTCCTGGAGGCACACACAAACAAACAGGTAAACAAAACAGAGATCAACAACAGCTGAAAACACTCAGACATAAAATATTTAATGCATCTATCTGTAAATACTTCTCGCATTCCTTCATTGTAAACTTATCACCACTGTGTCTGGCACGGAAATCTCCACAAAACAGACCTGACGGGTGTGTAATAATAAAATTAAAGCAGCGAACGGGATGAATATTTACCATGATGGAGGATATTAATGAAAAATTCCACTTACAGACCAGTCGAGAACATCCCGACTGTGAACACGATGCAGGCCCATGACAGAAGCTGCAGAACATCCATAGAGCGAAAGAAGACAAACCTAAAAACACCTTCGATAGTTTACTTTCAATGTGCGTTTTTCTTTTTAACCACGGTTTGGTTAAAATACATGAAAATAAAGACGGACTGTCGCTACGCAGAGGCACTCGCTGTTTCCGTGTTTGCAATCAGTGTGCCCCGTGTAGCTGCACTCTGATTAGCTGCGGCGTCAGACGGGTGGGGTGGATCTGTCCAATGGGAGCCCGGAACGTCGATTAACGTGGCACGTAACGTCATGACGTCGACAGAGCTGTGTATGTTCAGTGTGGAGGAATGAGAGGTGAGTTCAGGTAAATTTAAAGCCAAAATTATTCATAATGATGCAAATATTTTGGTTTATAGTGATTTCTTATTAAACCAACAGGTTTCTTCTGGCTTGAAATTAAAGAAGCAATTGACAGAAGGCAGTTTTTATATATCTTTTCCTCACATTTTTGTAAAATGTGAGGAAAAAATTCTAAAATTCTTGCTCTATTTATGTTTTTTTGTTTTTTTGTTTGTTTGTTTGTTTGTTGTTGTTGTTGTTTTTTTTTACATCTTACCACTTCTAGTCCTCCACAGGTTCTGGATGGACATCTCCTCATTGTTTCCTCTTCACTGTTTCTTCACCACTTTGGCTGCATGTTTCATATAATTGCCTTGTTGGAATCTCCAATGCTGCCTAAGGAGCAGTTTTTCTGCAGACTGCCTGATGTTTTCCTCTTCTCTCATAATGCCGTTTACTTTACTGATTTTCAGCCCCAAGGCGTCACATTCCTCCACCATGTTTGACCATGGGGATGCCGTTCTTGGCCTTGAATGCCTCTCATTGCAGCAACATTTTTCAAGGGTATGAATAATTTTGGTCGTGGTATTTGAAGTAAAAAATGTAAACAAACTTGTACATAACTTACTTTTATATTTAGTGGTTCCCAGCCTGGGGGTGAAGCTGAACTCCACTGATTTTACATAAGAACTTCACTTTAAGCCTTGATGATACAGCATTGTTGACACTCCACAGACTTTCTGCTAGGTTAAATTTTCTCATCTCCCCAACTACACAAGTATCTGCATGGACATCTATGCATGCAGCCCAAAATTTGTGGCTACTACAGTACAAGGGTAGTAGTGCACATGCGTGGCAGGAGTGTTTATGTGCAAAATACGTATATATGATCATATGTATGGAACAGAGTCCTTCCAGCAGACTCCAGGAGAGCTAGTAGGTAGTATATAATAGCAACAACTGAATGTTCTTGTGCCGTATTTAGTATTAAGACTTAATAATACTGTCTTGTCAGCTTGCAGAAGTCTGTTGTTTCCATGTGCATTAAGTCATATCCATGTATTCTGTGCAGACACACTACTGCCCTTAAAGTGTTCAGATTCACCTGAACCATCCCTTTGTTATGCTGCTATAAGTCACCACGATGCACTGAGCTGCTCTCCTCTACTGTCCTCTTCCTCACTTCCATACAGTCATATACCACCATTGCATGTCACTAACTTAGCGTCTTCTAGTTTGTGTTTTGTTCTCTCTGCAGGAATCTCTGGATCAGGAGCTGCACGTCTCTGAGCTCAGTTACTCTCCTAAATATGGGGCTGCTCCTCATTCTTTATACATTTGACATCGAGGCTTTTTAAGCAAATCAAATGCATCTAGTCCGACTTGACGCCTCTAAAAACTCCCCCAAAACATTTGCATTTATGGTTTTGATCTGGAAGGAAGACAGATTCAGCAGCCACATGGCTTATTTCTCACCTCAGATGTTTTTGGAGACACACTTTGGTGAGCTGTTTTTGCAATTTAGCTCAGCGAAACTTTGCAAGCGTCGGTGCAGTTTGAAATCCGGGAGCAGAAAGCAAGTGTCTGTTTGTTCAATCAGGTGCAGCTGGCGTTTCAGGATGTTGCCTGTTTCCTGCTAGAGAGCACCGAGACGCCTCACCTGCCTAAACTCACCTATGGACATTTCGTTTCATACTGCTCAGTCTGTTAAAACAGTTATAGTCCACAACATCGTGTGTAGTTGTATAAGAAGCTCTCCAAAGTCTGGAAAAATAACACCAATGGGTTCGAGTTGGCTTGAGATTTAAAACTAAAAACAGAAAAAGACTTCAGGTAGATAATTTGAATGAACTGAGGAAACACAGGGGCTCTGCAACTGAAAGATGACTTCCATCATAATGTTCATCAGTCTCTTGTCAGATCCCCAGCGTCTCGGAAGTGAAATATAAATTCCTGGAGTTTAGCAGAAAAGAAAATCCGAGGGAGCAGCAGAGGGATCTTTTACTGACTAGTTTTTGCTTTTTTTCTCGTGAGTTACTGATCATCTTTTTCACCCACATTCCAGCTAAGAAGACAAAATATCAGTCTGCCGTTGAATTGGCTGCTCCAAAGCTTTGTTTCAATAAGACTGAGAGCCTCGGGTTTACATCATTACACCGCCGTAATTACATGCATATTCTGGGTGTTCACAATCCAAGATGAAATGTTTAAAATGAAAATTAAAAGCACACTCCACTGGGGCGCACCGGCGTTATTTGATTAATTTAATCTCCCGTGCATCATTTTTCAACCAGCAGTGTTATTTCATGGATATTACGTCCAGGAATTAAGATTCATAATTCAACTTGTGAATTAAAACCTACTGCTGTCGCCTCATTTAGCAAAGTTAAGGGCAAATTTAATGCTAATCACCTAAAATGTCCTCATTAACTTTCTCTTGGCCCTTCGTAGCTCACGTCCGTCGCCCACCACGACTGGACTGCTCCCTCCTGCGTCCAGCTGTCGGTGCAGAGCTGCTTTTTCACTTTTTTTTTTTTAAATAAATCTTTCAAACTTGACCTTTCATAACAATCTCTGATGTATAATTTTCTCCCTTCGTCTCCTTCATTTTGTTGCTTTTAGTTCTTTGCATCCGTTTGACATTTAAATTTTTTTCACTGCATCGTTTTTTTTTAATCATTGTTTTTAAGGTCATTTCGATTTAAATGCTAAGCAATTTTATCTCTACTTTGTGTTTGATCTTATTGAATTATGATTCACTTTCTTTTTGTGACAGTTTTTTTTCCACTTTAAATGTTACGCAAACTAAATTTTAGAACGTGAAAGTTTATCTTTGCTGAACCTTGATGTTCGGATACCATTTGACCTTTTTGAATATCTTTTTATGTAATTGGAAATTTGCTGTATCACTAGAACATCAAATGATTGAAAATAGTGTCACCTTACAGTAATTGCATTATGTCAGTTAGATTTACTGTATAACAAATAAAGGCCCCTCACTAGGACGCACATCTTATTTTTTCAGTACGTTTACCTTTATTTTTGACGACAGACTCAATCCTCCCCAGCAGGAAGAATAAGTTTCTGCAAAGATGTCATTCTTCAGAGACGATGTTTTAACTGCTATTTGATGGATGAGGGTTGTGCTGCTCCACCTTTCTTCAAAATACCCCAAAGGTGTTCTGTTGGATTCAGGTCAGGCCACATACCTGTCCAGGTCGTGGCCTTTACTTTGTCGGCTTTTAGAAACTCTCCACAGTTGTTCTTTTTTTGACATTCTTGTGTGATTTTGTTCTCTGGATGGTTCTCCTGCTGGAATGTTCCTCTTCTTGCAGCTTCTGCAGACTGGGAGTCATCTAGTCAGTCAGTATTCTGGTTTACAATTCTACAATTTCATTCAGCAGACGCTTTTATCCAAAGCGACGTGCATTTGAGAGCCGATACAACACAAGCAAGGATCTAGTCAGGAGAAAACAACCTGGATAAGTGCCATAGAACAAGTTCAAGTGTGACGGGCGTTGATGCCAACCGCAGGCTGTGTGGGCGGTAATAGGAATTTTTTATTTTTTTCTTTCAGTCTGTCAAGTGCAAAGGTGTTCAGTGAAGAGCTGGTCTTTAGTCTTTTCTTAAAGACTGAGAGGGAGTCAGCAGATTGAACAGAGTTTGGTAACTCGTTCCACCACCGGGGAACCACAGAGGAGAAGAGTCTAGCTATCGGCCCTGTTGTGGTGGTTGGATCAGGAGGCTTTCGTGAGCAGAGGGAGTGTAGACCGGAATGAGAGAGTTCAGGTAGGAGGGAGCTGTTCTCAGTGTAGTTTTGTGGGCAAGCGTCAGTGTTCTGGTTTATCCTCAGACATTCATCTATAAATGTCATCAACACCTTCTGCCCTCATGCAGCCCCATATCATGATGCTGCCACCTCCGTGCTTTACTGTCAGGACGATGCATCCACTGTAGTGGTCCTGGTCAGGTTCACACCAAACATCTGGACTTCATCTGACCACAGAATGTTCTCCAACATTCATCAGGCTTCTTTTTATGTTCTTTAGCAAACTTGCGGTTTTATGCCAAAGAGCAAGCAAAGGTGTTTGTCATTGGCCTCCAGCTATAGAAATTGATGTTCTGAAGTGTCCTTCACACTGTCTGAGCTTCACACTAACTCTGGTTTCCATTGATAACCCCTGTACCAAGTCTGAAGCAGCTTTTGTTCACAGCGAGATAGTGAAAGTAGTTGACTGTCTGTGGAGTCATTGTAGGAGGACGACCACTGCAGCCCTGATCAGTGTTACTATGGCTCCTTCTAGACCTCCTGGTTACTGCTTACACTGTGGTTTACTGATTTCTAGTTTATCTTCCTGGATCCTTTTCCATCTTTGTGAAGTCTCACAGTCAGATTTTTTAGGTCTTCTGTTCAACTCTTTCCCACTTGGAGCCATGATGCAGACATGCAGATAGAAACAGCTGAGAACGCTCTGGTGTTCATTTTATAACGATGTTTATGCAGTCAGGCTTCCTGGAAATGAAATGAAATGAAATGAAAATACTTTATTTACATAAATGGCAGTTTCGTTTCACTTTTGTTTCCGTTTTGGGACTGGAATTGTCTTCAGTATTTGCATGTAATTCTTAAGAACAAGAGGAAATTCCCTGCTGTTCAACTTAGAAATTGCGCAATTTTGAATCCTTTGACTTTTAAATGTTATGCACAAGTGTGTACTTACTTCTATTGTACATTTCCATTCATTCATTGTGCAGCTCACGCCTTTGTTTGCACATGGGGATGACCTAATGCTGAAGTGAGGCCCACAGTGATTGTGAAATCAGCCATATTTGGTGCGTTCCATCAGTCGAATCCTGTCCTGCGTTAACCTACACGGATCCCTGAGAGCGATGATCCGCAGTGAATTTAAGCTATGCTGCTATATCGGAAAAACAAACAGCTCAGTTTGATTTTGAGTGTGCGTGTTGTGTGGTTTTACAAGGAACGGTGACTTTTGACAGTTTTCAGTCAGCTCTGAGGTCTGCAGGTACCAACGCTCCGCTCCTCCTCATTCCAACATCCAGCTGCGCAGACGTCGGTCAGCTTTACCTCAGAAAAAAAGGAGGATGTACAGATGAGCAAAAGAAAAAAGGGCACGAAAAGAGCGCGAACGAGGAGGTGAGAGTGACAGCTTCACACCGAGTCGTCAGTTTGCTCGTGGGCCTCTCTCACGATCTCCCCTGCTGGGCTCCCTCGCTTCGTCTTCGTCCAGCTCTCGTGTTTGGTTTTGGGTCTGTGAAATCCAAGCCACGGCATGTTGTATGGTTCACGGATGAAAGATGGGACAGGCAGAGAGGAGGCGGATGAGAAGACGGGGGAAGACCCGGGGGTGGGAACATGGAGAGAGGACCGAGCAGAGATTTCACGAGGTGGGAGATGGATGCTTTCGCCAAAATATTGTGTCAGCCGTCAAAATCTCAATGACCTCAGCGGGTTTGTTATTGCAAAAATGACAGAAACCAGACAGATTTTTTTTTATGACATCACATCTTTTTTTTTATTATTTCACATCTTAAAACAGTTTCTTATAGTTTTCTCTATGTACAAATTTACATATAAACATTTACAAAATGACGCAAGCAGGTTTACAAGGAGATAAAAAAAAAGAATGGATTCTGGAAAGTCCCTTCAGTTTGAGGTTTGACGACGTGCACGAGGGATCACATCTGCACACATCTGCCAGTGTACCATGATAGCATCGTAGAAATGAGCGAATAAGACGAAGAACCAACTGAAACGCTTGTTAGTTTTGGATCTGGATAAGTGGCTCTCAACCTCGTGTCACGACCTTTTAAAGATGAAAAATAAATACACGTTTCAAGAATTATAAAAGCTTGAATGCATTTTTATGCGAATTTAAATTAAATAACTTGAATTAGTACTTTATGCACGGGCATCAATAAGCATCAACAAGGTTCGATGAGCCGCGAAATCAAGGTTGAGAACCACTTTTCCTCGATTTCTCGTCTTATAACTGAACTGAAAAACGTCACATAACTTGACAAATGTGAAGGGTATGACCAGGGGCTGAGTGCTACACAACATGACAAGAAAATCCTACATAACCAGTTTGCCGACAACAATACACAAAAATCAATAGTTTCTCTACATGTAGAGGAAGAAAAAAATGAACTGCACAGTGGTACCAATGACAAAGAGGAGGATGGAATCTTGCCATCATTTTCAAATTTGAGTATTTTGATCGTTCTGCTCGTTGTTTTGTTCAAAAGTGTGCATCTTAAATGGTTAAAACTGAGAATTTTCATCCTCATAATGGAAAAAAAAAGTTATTTGGGGCGATCGACGCTCCACATTCACACCACAAACAACACATCAAAAACACACACCGACCGACACGCACTGTCCATGCTCGTATAAAAAAAATCTGTATAAAAAAAAGTCTCTGAGTGTCCCGATGACCAGCGTCGGGTTTGCAAAGTCTCTGTTCCTTCCCGCTTTACTGCAGCACCAGGACTAATAAAACCGGGATCATGGTGAAGAAGAGCGACAGCGAGGCCAGCTGTGCTCCGGAGCTGCCGATGCTCATCTGGACCTTTGGCTCCATCGCAGCAGGGTCATCTGAGAAAAGAGACGGGAGGCGTCAGTACAGGATTTCATCACTCAGGAATGGTAAACACACCCAGCTGAGCTCATCGCAGGCACACCACTGCTGCGACTGTTCAGTGTGCCGTGTTTCTCTTTTCTTACAAAGATTCCTCACCTGCTGGGAGCCGGTTAGAGGGGTTGTGGACTCCTCCCGCGGCGTGAAACTTCCCTTTTCCTCCGTCTAAGCTCTTTCCCGTCTCCTCGGCCTTGGATTTGTCGGCGTGAGTCTTTGCAGAGCCTTTGTGCCCGAGGACGTCCACTCTGAGCCGGAGACACTCTTGGCCGTGGTGGTGCATCGGCTTAGCTGGGAAAGTCAGAAAGAAAGGAAAAAGTTCAATACAAGAAACCTTGGTGGGATCACAGTGGATTGTTGGGCTGTATGTTAACTCAAATGCATCGTGCTGCAGCTTTTTTCTGCTGCATTTACCAGAAGTTCTTATGCTTTATTTAAACGATTGCATGCAAGTGCACATGGTAATTAGCAAGAAAGAGGAGATTTGGTGGCAAAAAAGGAACTTTAGTCGTTTGTAAATGCATATTTTAGCTGCAGAAAGGATGATTTGGACCAAAAGTCTGCATCATCTTATATTTGTGCAAACCCACAAGGTAAAATTAGTTTGCCAAGTTAAATCAGCAGCACAAAGCTCTGTGCGATGACAGAATTGAGCTCCATCCAAAGCAACAAAAAAAAAAGCACTATTTTAGATGCCTTCTCTAGTGTTTCACCACATGACAAAGGTTCCAAACAGCATTTTTCCAGCTTCTTAAAAAAAAATTTTTCTATGCAGATGCACTCCCCGACAAAATCCCCCCAATCATCCTGGAATGATTAATCATTTCCAAGTAGATTTATTCAAGTCATCTGCTGTTTATTAGTGATACTTACAGATATAGTAGTAGCTCTCTCCTTGTCTGAACTCCTTGCCCAGCGTGAAGGGCGTGAAGCGCTGGAACTTCTCCGAGAACTTCTCCGGAGCGTGGGGCGCGAATGGCCGCGAGCACTCCCACCTCAGCTGGTCGAAGGAGTGCGGCTTGCACACCTCGTAGTCCTCCTTCTCCACCATGTACAGGACGTAGCGCTCGGCCGCGTGCGACGGCACCTCGCCGTGGGCGTAGTGGGGGCAGACGATGTCCAGGTAGTCGTTGATCCGCACCTCCACCGTGTACTCGTCCCACAGGAAGCTGCAGGGAGACACGAGGGAGAGTCGAGGTTACTCACTGATGCCCGACACACACCCTGCAGCTCATTCAGTACATTTGTTAGGAATAATAACCGGGGCTGGTCGCACACGTGCAGCAGCAGTAAACAAGTCACTCACACGAACAACACACAAGTAAATCTATAGGGTGGTGGTCACATGAGGCCGTGTGTCTGTGCTGACGTGTCTTGCTAAACCTGTGCAAACCCGCCTGAGTAACAGAATTAGAAAGATCAGGCTCGACTTGTTCGCTTTGTTTTTGGACGAGGAAACACACCCAGAACCTTGTAAATCCCTGCCACCGTCCCACTCGCACACCTCTCTGCCCTTCAGCGCAGATTCACTTCTCACCTGCTCGGCAGCAGATTGTAAATGACAGCTCTCCCCCTCTACAATCTGCTTTCCCAGTTCCCCGCGAGTCCACTTTTCTATCTGTACAGCTCTGTTTCTGTCAAGTCTTCTTAAACTGTTTTTCCAGTTCCTGTCACGTTAGGTTTCTCCACCTGGATGTTTGTCCATCTGTGTTGTGACTTCTTTTTTCAGGGCTAATTTGCCGTCTCTGTCTGCAGCTCTTTTTCTCTGATTTCATCAAAGACAGAGACGGAGCCAGACTTTCTTTTTTCCCTCTTTTCATCTTTACCCTTCATTTAGTTTTATGGCTCTCTTCGAGCCTCCCCGTCTCCTCTTTCCTCACTTCCTGGGCTTGTTTCGCCCCCGGTGCCCTAATGAGGTATGGAGATGGTGAAAAATAAGCATAGATCCTCTAAAGTCCTGCTGCACATTTATGCTCAGCGAGGATACAGAAGCCAGATTAACCCTCCGAGCCTCCAAAACCCCCCGGCGGGTTTAGAGGCATCTTGTCTTTGAAAAACAGAAAAATTGCACCATTTATCAGAGCCTGACGTTGTATAAAAAGAGAAAGAACTGTTGGGTTTTCCACTTTCCGATGGAAATCAAGTGGGACGACAAGAAACTAAACCAAATCTACGCTTTAAAATTGTGATATTTTATTAAAATCACCTTATTCTGAAGGTCTTATATAAAAAATAGCCAAAATGCTGTAACTGAATTCTGTAAAAAACTAAAAATTTCAGACTTCTCAGCACAACTGTGAAGTCAGTAGTTGCTCAGCTTCGACCAAAAGTAAAGTGGAAAAAATTCAGGGACTTTTCAGCTGAACTGCAGGCAGTGTTTACAGAAAGCAGAGAGGAGACAAGCATGGAAATAAATTAAAAATGTATTTTTAAAAATGTTTTCTGTATTAGTAACACCTGGAAAAATGTTGTATATGAGGATTCCATTTTTTTTTTTTTTTGTAAATTTTTTGCAAAAATCCTAAACTTTTGTGGAGTCCTCTCTCCTTCTTCATAGTTGTTTGGTTTTCATTAGAGGTGCAGGACTTTAAAAAATGATCCCACAGTGAGTAAAAAAGTGACCGGAGCAAAAACAAAATCTGCTGCTTGGAGTTTGGAGAGTTTCCACCTCAGTGAAACTTTTACTGACAGTTAATAAGTAGCTACGGTTAGAAACAGATCCACTGGAGCGAAGAGGTTTCACGTATATTTTTCTTGGCTTTCACAGCGAACATGGTGCAGCAGGCTGAAGCGCCGAATGCCAGGAGGTTAAGTAAAGATGTTTTATTTGCATATTTACTCCTGTTCCATCCCGAGGCGCTCTAATCCCTGAACTCAATCTGAGCTTGAACTTGTTGCAGAGAGTGAAAGTGGCCAGAAAGCAGCATCAAAGCTCTGTCCCCCCCCTCCACCTCCTGTTATTGTGGCTCCTGTTAGGACCCCGTGGCCAAGTCACAGACAAACCGGCTCCAAATAAAGGCCTCCAACCCCTCCTCCTCCTTTCCTCTGCACGAGTGTGTAATTGTGTGCATGTGTGCGTCCGTTGCTGCTAACCTACCTGTCAAAACACGCTTTGTTGGCTGAGCACAGCTACGCTCTTGTTATCCGTGGCTAATAGGCTGATCGCTACCCTCTTCTTGTAATCAGCGCTTTCTCTCAGAGAAGCCTCTTTGTGCGTTCCTGTGCAGGTGTGCACGCCTTTGTTTGTGTTTGTGCGCGCTTGTCAGGGCGAGTGAAAGGGAAAGAGACACATCTGTAGCCGCCTAATTGGCCAAATAATCTCCAAACTCATCTTGTTCCTCGCCGCTGTTTTCCTCAGTCAAACCGGTAATAACAGGGCTCAGAGAAAACAAGACGTTCGGAGGTCTCGAGTGGCTCCCTCAGAAGTAAAGAATAGTTTTAAATTGTAAGGCTTCACCTTCTTTCCCACACTGCGTCCTTGTTAGCGGTCGGGTCGACCTCGGCGCCAAAACACAGGCTTGTCAAAAGCCAACAAAAACAGACAGATTCTGTTGCTAATTTCATTCACGGCCTTTAAGAAAACTCTCCTTTCATCCTTCCCTTCACCTCCTCCTCCATTGCTCTGGCTAATTAAAAGCTGTTAGGGGTCTGGGGCCAATGTGTTCGCTGCAAAAGGAGGGGAGGAGGAATGAATGGGCTGTAATTATACCCTTCCCCTCCCCAAAGAGCCCGAAGGCTGCAGGGCCTCTGCACCTTCACCCCTGTGGAGCTTTCACTATCCTCACGGCTCCTCGTGTGATATGTGGGCTGAGTGTAGTTTTAGTGCTTTTGCACGGTTGAATAAATGTTTTTTTTAATATGGATTGGGTTTTCTTTATGTTACCATAAGTCAAGTCGCTGGGGAAACCCGAACAACCGTCTGCCTGCCGAGTTCGGTTTGTCTTAAACTGGTTTGTCTTCCTGACAGGAGCGATTAGTTTCTTGATTAACGGTTAGAAAATAGTGAAAAATGTCATATTTAAAGGTCTTGTTTTGTCTGTAATTTAAAGATATTCAGTTTACTGGCAAAGAGGAGCAAAGAAACCAAACTTTTCCCTCTTACACAATAAAAAGGAACCAGCAAATATTTAGACTTTTGCTTAATTTATGAATTAAACAGTTAACTAATTATCAAAATTCTTATTTTACTTTTGCTATTTGTCAGTCAATGATTCGTTTCGTTCATAAAAGGGGTTCAAAAAGTGATTATTGGCAGTTATTTGGTCTATAAAATGTCAGAAAATGTCCCATTTTGTCCGCAATCCAAAGATATTCAGTTTACTGTCATATAAGAGGAAACAAACCAGGAAACGTTTACATTTAGAATGTAGCCTTTTTTTTTCTTTTTTTTTTTAATATTTAAAAAAAAAGACCAAATCACCAATTAATCGATTATCAAAAGGTCTGACTACTTATAATAATTTTCCATCCAAAAATGTTCTGTTTACTGTCACAGAGGAGAAAAGAAACTAGAAATAATCACATTTAAAGAAGCTGCAATCTGAGATTTTGGACCTTTTCCTCTTAAAAAACGACTCAAAGCGATGATTCGATGATGAAAACAGCTGGAGACTGATCCAACTGATCGATGCAGCTCCTCTGACTTTCCGTCATCAAAGCATCCGGCTGACATTTCTCGGCCGAGTGTGACTCGCAGCAGCGTGACGGCCACAGATCCAGGTGTGCCGAGTTGTTGCGAACCTACTTTTGCAGGTTTGTGTGTTTGGGATTCTCTGAAGGCCCTTATTCGGGGCGTCTCATGCCTCGGGCCTGTGAGCACATCTGTTTATCGGGACCGGAGCCTCCGCCGGGTTCTGCTACATGTGATGGAGGTGTGGGTAAACAGCCCAGGGTGAAGGTTTTTTCCTGCAGGTCATTTCTCACTGCGCGGCTACTTTGGCTTTTGCGTCAGCGGTTGAGATGTGCATACGTCGAAGGTATAAAACGGGAAACTAGCTCGAGTGCTGGTGGTTATTACGGCAGGCGACTTGTTCAACACTTGAGCCAGGCTTTGAAGTCTTCCCATTGTCCTTCTCCCTGACAGCCCCTCTCTCTTTCCTCTTCCTCCCCCACTCGCTCTCTGACTCCATTTGGCCCAAAAGCAACAACAGGGACTCTGTCCTCCACCGACTCTCCGGGGGAAGAGTTTCAAACTGGCAGCCGGGTCACGAGGTTAAAGTTCAGGGTCGCAGCACACATCCGAGTCAGCGCTGAGGTTTTCACACACCCACGAAACCGCAAATGTAAGATTCTGTGCCGAGAGGATGCTTTGAAAAGTAAACTCACTATTGATGCCTATAAACGTGAAACTAAAAAATGACAACATTCATATAATTTCTCTGCTGCCAACTGGGATTTACTACAATTAAACTTGAAATATCAAGAAAGTTTTCAGCACTTTCTTTCTGAAATAACCAAACACCCCCCACCTGGCTCGCTCCATTTGCTCTGCAGGTAATCAGTAGTAAGTGTGCACTCATTGGAATGTACCAACAGCAGGGGGTCGAGGAGGGAGAGGGGGGAAAGCTGCGGTTTGGATGCTTTACAGCACTCATCAAATTTCCGAGCCCACTCTCGCACAGTTTTACTTGGAGGTGTACACTTAATACCCGATTAATTTGCTGCGGTATGACAGATTCACACCTCCTTCTACACAAGGCCGAGGAGCTGTCAGTGCAGCTAATGGGCTTAGCTGCTCACCAGTGGGCCGCTCTGTTAGAGTCAATCTAATAGACGATGAAAACGTCTGTCTGGTTGAGCTTCCAATGCAATCAACCCTCATTCTTCCTCCATCTCAGTGTCTTCCTTCTCCTCCTCTGTGCACTAAAAGGTCGACCGATACGGTAAAGATTCAGAACTGCTGAAAACTTTGCATCAAAGCACATATCTTATTTAAAAATCCGTAAAAAATAAAGTGTTTACAATAACCAGATTCTGGAAAAAACAAAAAATTCTGCGCTCATCTACGCAACCAGGAAGCTATCAGTGACTCAGCTGTGACCAACAGTCATGAGATGAAAATTTAACGACTTTTCAGCTGAACTGGGTTGAACTGCAGGCAGTGCTCACGGGGCAGAGAGGACGCAACTATGGGAACAAATTTAAAATGCCAGAAGGAAATCATCTATAG